AATCCAAGCATTTAGAACCGTTTTTGACCCTTCTAAGACACTTTTTTAATTGAAAAAAGAAACATCGTTAAGTGAAGCAGGGACCTAAAATCGCATTCGTTATGCGAAGCATGGTCCCAAACTTCGCTAAGCGAAAATCGCCCATAGGAAACATCGTTATACGGTGCATATTATTTTCTAAAAAACCACATCGTTATGCGAATTCATCGCTAAACGTGGCAATCGTTAAGCGAGGCACCTCTGTACAGTCATGTCATCTTCTGGTTGCTGCACAATGCTGCACAATGGGTGGAGGATGGGGTTTCACTTAACTGGGGCTTATTTTTTGAGGGGGTAGGGCTTATATTATGAGCATCCTGAAAAATCCTACTAGGGCTTATTTTCAGGGAAACAAGGTACATTCCTCAACCCCTAAACAAATACAGATCAGTCTTGAGATACTTCCAGCCCTGTGGTAGTCTGAGACCATTGGCTGTACTGGAAAGAAGCTAGCAGGCCTGCCCTTCTTTCCTCATGTGGGGGGCAAACAGACTGGCAATTGGACATTGACAAATGTTTATCAATATATGTATATCCATACTTACACTTGTCCCTATCTTTATTTCGTACTTGCCTCTCTATCTGTCTATATTTATACATCATTTGAATTTGAATTTTATTTGTATGCTCAACAGATCAGATATTTATACATCATTACTTGTTTCACTATGATATGCGTTCAGAAAAGATCAGTATCCATGGATTTGAATACAAATAATGAAAGGGATGGGTTTTAGATCATTATCTTTTAAAAGAAACAATGCCCACGTCATTTTATATTCCAGCTGCTGACTCTTTATAGATGGCAAAATCCATGGATACCATGACTGTTAGGAATTGCAGAAGATAGAGGGATTTGTTTTCGGAATATGGGTTGAAACTGGTACATGTGCAATCTCTGTTTTCCATTGCAAAAGCAATGCTGCATCTTTCCACTTTGAAATATCGTGTGAACAGCATAAAAATTTACCTTCAGGTACCTGGGGATCCTCTTCCACTTCCGGCACTCATGGAGCCCACACCATAATTCTGCAATTGCATCCTCCTCCCTCTCCCTTAGTGCAATCTCCCGTTTTCATTTCCACTCTGGCAACCAGTATGTCCCTGCTGCCATTAAAATCCTACATTCCAAGACATTCTCCCAGTTACTCTACGGAGTCCCAGTTTGGATCGAGGCAGCAAACTCTGAAATTGACAAGGTGGCCGCCTCCTTTCTCAGGAAAATCCTTGGGATCCCCAATCTTATCAGACTCTCCACCATTATCCTAGAACTGGGTATCCTCTTACCCTCTACCCTAGCCTGGACCATTACCTTTAAGTTCTGGCTCAGAATTCATCTCCTAACCCCTTCTAATTCAATCTTACAAGACCTCTTAAAGGACTCTTTTACTTCCAGGTGGCTTCATTTCGTTGAAGCCAAATTATCCTCACTATCTCTTTCTGTCGAAACCTTAGCCGACATGAATCTCCACTCAGCACATCAAACTATTAGGTCCAGTCTATATGATCTTGAATATGCAGCCTTCCTCTCCCAAATGACCCCTACCTGTTCCCCTCTCGCTTTCGGCCTATCCCTTTCCCTCGGCCGTCCCTCTAACTACTTTACCCAACTGTCCAATCCTCAAAAAAGATGAGCTTTTATGCTCGCCAGGCTGAATATTTTCCCATCCGCAGCCCACTTCGGAAGATTCACAAGAACTCCCTGTTCTGATAGACTGTGCCATTCCTGTGCACTTGAACCTGACTCCCTGGACCACATTCTACTCCGGTGCCCAATTCACAATACCCCTCGCAAGCGACTGCTAGGACCACTTCTTTTTTCCCTCTCCCCCTCTTTCCCTGACCCTTCCCCCATACTACTGAGCGATTTCTCGACTTCTATTACCAATCAAGTAGCCGAATTCCTCCTCATTGTTATAAAGACCTCCCCCCTCCCCATATCCCCATAAACTTTCTCGAACCTAACCTATCACAATCCCTAACCTGCTCCTCCCCCTACCTGGAATTGGAATGTAACTACGCTGTGCACTCACTTGTATTTTATAATGCCAATAAAGGTTTTTAGAGAGAGAGAAAATTTACTGTATTCATGTAAGTTTTTCTTGCCTGTTGTAAGGCATGAGATGCTCACTTAACAAGTTTAGAGGTAAATGCTGGTTGCTTGGAAGTTACCTCTCTGTGAAGTGAACATTGGTCAACTGATCTACAGTGATGTCATAGCATCCCAGAGAGCAAAGGAGAGCCATGGCAACAGGAAGTTGAAAAGAGGAGTAGAAACTCTGTGTGTATTCAGTGGCATTGAACTGAGATGAAAGATTTTTACAACTCATGTGTTTGTTGGAGGGATATGGAATTTGGTCATTCCCTTTTTAGTGCAGATTTAAGAGGGATCTTTAGCACAGATATTTATGAGGGA